AGGCCTCTGTTTTATTAACAGAAACTCAGACTCAAGTGTTGTTCCGTGATAATAGACGTGGGTAATGTCATCCCCATTAAACAGTGTGCTTATCACGCAAATCCTGCTAAACTAAAAATTAGACACAAAAAGAGTATTATTGGTCAATGTTGTGAGGGTCTGACGGAATTTCTCTGTAAACTGAAGAGTTATAGTGGAAACACGTTTCACCTCTTTTTACACTTGTAAAAAAGAACATTCCAATCAGTGGGTGATGCATTGTTATCTCAATCACCTGCTAATTCCTTTTACACTATGGGAAGACAGGAGAATGTGATTGTACTGTATCTGTATGTAATGTGTGTTGTGTTTACAAAATTAAAGTGTTTTATAATGTATAATTAAAAAGTAAAAAAAATCTTAAAGCTTACAGAAAGATTCTAAGATGATCACGGGGAAGTGTATTGCATGTCTAATGGTCTAAACCCATTACTCCCATTTTGATTAAAATCGCAAACGAGTGTTTAATTAAATGCCTTTATTGATTCACAATCTGACAATGCAACCAGATGGTGGGTAACTGAGTATCAATCAAAACCCAGAGTTTCTCTGAGTGTCAGAAAAAAAATAATTACCTCAGTGATAAGTTTATGTAGGGGTTGTGAAAATTTTCAAAAGTCATGGTCTTTAAAATGCATTTGGTTTGAAAGCTTTCTGTGTTTCCCTTGTGATGATATGGACATAAGAATATTCGTGCGTAGTATAAAAACGACAACGTGAAGTCTATGAAAACATTCACAATGTACTTTATACAAATAATGTAGTGCTTTCGGGCTCACGTGGGTTTGCCCTCTACACGCTGCGGGACCGCTGTGTACATACAGTAAGTTCACAATGCTGCTCAATACGAGTTCGTGCAGCAAACTGCAGAGGTGATATTTAGAGATATATATTGTAGTATTTTGGGGTTTGTCGAGGACAGGCACAGTGATTCAGACACTACTGTTCTTGTGTCTAATTTTTAGTTTAGCATAATTTGCACGATAAGCACATTGTTTAATAGGGATGACATTACCCACGTCTATTATCATTGTACAACACTAACTTCTTTCAGGCTGTGCCGAAAAATAAAGCGCAGTTTTTCATTCAACGAGTGTCACTGTGTTCGTCCTCAGTGAACCTGAAAATGCCACAATATTATAAACAGCTGGGCAAATTATTTTTTTTTAATTTACAAAAGAAATCAATAATGAGATATAATTATGTGTTCCTGCTTAACTTACAAATGCAGCCATTTAAAGTGCGTGGTACACACATGTACCAGAGGTAATTGGCTACGGCTTTGCGCATTGTGACGCACGATGACGCGGTACGTGATTGGTTGACCGACAGGGGCACTCGTGGTCCATTGGTATGTCGTAGAAAGATTTACAGTAAACGTCTTTACTGTGCCCGTTGTAGTATTGAATATTTATATGGAATTTTACCACTGAAGGGAAACCTTAGTTCCTGAGCATAAAAAGAATAGGAGCATACTGCAACGCGTGTGAAGGCCATAAACGATATTAATTTTTGGAACTTAAACATACAGTATATGGCTGGTCTCTGTAAGTTCCAAAATTAATATTAATATTAATACTTAAACGGGCACAGTTAAGACATTAAATATACATATACATACTGTATACAGTACAGTTTGCATACGGTAATATGTTTATGTTCCTAAATCAATCTCTTTTATGAGCATGTGAAAGGCATGGTGAATCGATTCTCAAAAATTACTGTACTTTGCGTGATTGGAAACAAATGCGTGATTGCGAAATGCTGTGCTGTTACTTTTACAAAGACGGTCAATGAAAAAAAGAATGTGGACCAGGGCAATACTTTGAGTTTACACTTACAGCTTGTCCAAGGTCATTCATTATTAATACTATTAGTAATATCTTCGTTAAAGACTTTGATGGCGACAGTTCAAACATGAGAGGTTGAACTTAATTAGCTCCACCTTGCGGAAATTCCGGATTCTATTATTTTGCTTGCGGTATTATAGGAGAATTTACGGTAACTAGCGGTATTTACCGGTAACTCATGGTAGACTGTGTACAGCGGACTGGAAATTATTCGGTATCGCCCGCGCATTTTGAATGGCTGCATCTGTAGACATTGCTTGATTTTAAAAGGTATAAAACAGGTTTCAATAGTTAATAACCACTTTTTATGCGCAAAAAATGGGTGACTTTTCTCCCTTGTCATCTGATTTTTCTTGGAAAAATGTATTTTATGTGTTGCAAAAAACTGACTTGCTTCAACAAAATATATTTACAAATCCTTTTACCTGGCAATCTACCTGAATGCCCAACTATCTGAGAAGGCCTCTGTGAGACCATGTTCGCTTACAGAATTGCTGACAGAGTTCCCTGGTTTCACACCCCTGTTATACTTGTATCCAATTGCCACCCTATCAATGACGCACGCCAGCAGAAAAAAAGACAGACCGAAGGAGAACGAGCAAGCACCAGAGAGACATGAGAGAGAGCAACACACTGGGGTCTATTCGGGTAACTACATAGTGATAGGGTGGCAATTGGATACAAGTATAACAGGGGTGCGAAACCAGGGAACTATTTATAAGAATGCGGGCGATCTCATCACACTGTAATAACGCCACAGCAAACTCTCGTTTTTATGTCCACTATGACATAATCTCCCTTGCTTTTAACCGAGCGTTTCATAATTTCTATGTATGAAAATGATTTAAACTGTGAGACACTTATCATTCAATGAGAGCACACAACATCACATGTTTACACTGTTAACTGTTCAGGAAAGGGTGAATGAAAGAAGTCATGTCAAGTATAATAATTCGGTGATCAATAATACCAGTTATAGGACAGGAAACAAAAGATAGTGAAAACTTAACGTTTTTAAGGCTGAAACTAAAATACAGTCTACAAATGAAATTTAAGGATGTTAAAGTGCTAGAGGTGTAAAAAATACAAAAATGCACATGAGCAAAAAGTTTTAGAAATGGAGCAGGTGTTACTTTGAAATAAGCAAAGAGAAAAACCATGACTAGACAGTGCAGAAGAAGGATGCAGGAACACTTGCTTAGATGTACAAAAAAATCACAGAAAGGTGTTTGTTACAAAAGAACATGCAAACATGAAATAGATTTGGCAGAGAGTGAGGAATGAGAAAATTAACACGCATAAAAAACAGCAATTCTGTCAGCGAACATGGTTTCACGGAGGGCTTCTCAGATAGTTGGACATTCAGGTAGTTGCCAGGCAAAAGGATTTGTAAATATATTTTATTAAAGCAAGTCAGTTTTTTGCAACACATAAAAGACATTTTTCCCAGAAAGATCTGATGACGAGGAAGAAAAATCATCATTTTTTGTGCATAAAAAGTGGTTATTAACTATCGAAACCTGCTTTGATAGCTTTTAAAGTCATGCAATGTCTAAGTTAAGCAGGAACACATCATTATAACTCATTTTTTATTTATTTTTTAAAAATTTAAAAAATTGTTTGCCCAGCCTAAGGGGGGGGGGGGGGTCAGCTCTCATTGACAGCTGACACTCCTCCATACACTCAAGTGAAAAATTAATTACGCCAATGTAAACGTCATACTTACAATTTGTTAATAATAAAAATGTTATGTTCTCTAAAGCTTTGATAGTCAAGTATGACCTAGGGAGCTGTGTTAGGGAAGAAAACGCTTTCAGAGAAAATGTTTCAGGTGTGAAGAATACAGATCCCCAATTCAATTTCAGCCTAAACCAGTCCCCACACACCCGGCTGAATTATGAGCCTGAATTATGTACTATGCCTACATCTGCGAAACACCTTTGCTAGTTAATGCTTCTTCACTTTCTCTGGTGTGATTTTTTAGGTAAAAAACAGGCTAACAGGGTTGTTTTGTGTTCTTCCTAAGATTAAGTGCAGTGCCAAAATGTTTTCATATGAAAGGATTCATACGAAAGGCAGTGACATCACCATCCTGAGGCGTGTGTGTGGCAGGCAAGCTGGTTTAGCCTTTGTCACTAATGAAACCACTAGATAAACACATAAATATAAAAATTCCTACATTACAAACTCCAAGCGTTTCATTTTGTCTATTGCTACAATATTGATAGCAGTGAAGTTACAAGGAACATGTCAAATTGTTTCCAAAAGAACCACAATTGAATGAGTTTTGATAATAATAGAGAAATAATAAAGTTGCCATTACCCCCGTTTTGATTTAAATCGCAAAAGCATGTTTAATTAAATTTCTTTTATTGATTCACAATCTGACAATGCAACGTAAATCGTTATCTATGTCTTCTAAATCCCTTTTTTTAATACAGTAATACTACCAGCTATATAAATACACCTCGAACATATGCCCCACCAGGTAACACACAGAAGCAAACTGAATACAAAATGTACTTGCAAGAATAGTTATTACAAACATTAAAAAAACATACTTGCTTTATACTTTTATACTGTACAGTATAATGAAACACTCTATGGTCACTACACTGTGAGTAATGCTGCCCACTAAACCCCTTTTCCACAATTTCACGAAGGGCAAGGTCACTTAGCTGATTCCCAGCTGGATACGATTCTATCTTGCAAAAATTCATATATTTGTCAACATTTTTATTAAAACTATCCATCACACTATTTGTGCATAATTAAAAGATTTATGATAAAGGTGGAAGGTTTTGTGCTTTTGTCCAACTGAGCAATCTTGCTTTTATAAAATATAACGACTTTTTAATGTTTAATGATTTACATGCTGTACAGTTTACCATTATTAAAAGTCTAAAGAATATACAACTTAAATTCTTAATTGGAAAAAGATTGTCCCTCAGCAGTGACCGGGATTCATACCGGGCGTTTTCTGGCGACAGCTCAAATTCTGTACATGAGACATTAATCTTTATTAGCTTTTTTTTAAATTTTAAATTTAAGCTCACCATCGATTATTTTCCTATTAGGAATTTAGTAATCATGTTTTTTTTTTTGTCTCAGGTGGTGTTCTTACTGAGAAGAATGTAATGGATATGTATATGAAAGTCCTACCAATTGGAAGAGGAGCAAGCGCAGAAGTTTTCTTAATGAAGCACACCGAGTCCAAGAAGCTGTATGCTCTCAAAAGGATACAAATTGACAGCTCTCGGAAAACACAAACCAAAGAGGCTGTTCTAAAAGAGGCTGAAATCCTCAGGAAGCTTAGGCATCCCCACATTGTTATGTGTCACAATCACTTCTTTGATTCCCATGATGAATACATTTACATTGTCATGGATTACTGTGATGGTGGCACACTAGATGACCGCATTAAAGTGAGACAGAAAGATTATTATATTTTGGAGGAAGAGGTTATGGGGTGGTTCGTACAGGTAGCCATGGCTGTTAATTATATACATTTTAATAAAATTCTCCATCGGGACATAAAGACCTCAAATATTCTTTTAACCAAGAAAGGTATGGTCAAGCTGGGAGATTTTGGAATATCAAAAGTCATGAATGACACTCTGGACATGGCAAACACGTGTGTTGGAACACCTTGCTATCTGAGCCCAGAACTTTGTCAAGATGTTCCTTACAGCTCTAAATCTGACATCTGGGCACTTGGGTGCTTGCTGTTTGAGATAACCGCACTAAAACCACCTTTTGTTGCCAAAAACCTTATAAATTTGTTTTACAAGATAATTAAAGGAGAATATAGCAAGGTGCCAGAGGTATACTCTGAAAACCTACACAATTTAATTCGAAAGATGCTCAGTTTACTACCAGAGCAAAGGCCCAGTGCCAGCAGCATCCTTAATTTGGCTTATGTTCAAAGGCATCTGGGACTTTTTGTTAAGTGTCAAGAGTCCCAACTATCAAGATATAATCTTGGCTTTAGACATGTGGTTGGACTCACTGATGGAAATAGAAATAGCCCTTCAGTCAACTACAGAAGCAAAACTGCCTTTGGCAGTCCGTGGAAAGATTGTGAAGAAAATTGTGTAAGGTCAGCGCCTCCACTGCTTCAGGAGGATCATGAAAGCGATGAAGAGGCTGTCTCACAGACTGATGACGAAGGGTTGGTGGCTAGCATTGGAGACAAATCAGACTATTCTGAAGACTTTGAAGATCAGAATAGTTTATCTTCCATTGAGGAGCACATTGAGGGTGATACCTCTTCCCCTGCTCTTGTGCAAAATGAAGAGATTCCAGAAGAACTAGAAGGTATGACAGTGAAAGAAGGTAGAAGTGATAAAACAAATTGCATTTTAAAATTTGTGTGGTCACATTTTTCGGGAAATAGTCATTAATATAATGAAGACATTTATATTTGAAACCTCATCAGAAAATTTAGAATTTAATTCCTTTTTTTGAAAATAATCACAATATTTGATCTTTTATATTACATTTTGTTTTGAATATTTATAGACATATATAATCTGAATATGTTGTGGTAAACAGCTAGAATCAAATAAAATAAACATCCGATTGGGTTGTAAATAAAAAAAGAAATCAAACAAACAAAGCAATCAAATCTTTATCTTAACTTAACTCTTTTTAACAATTTGAGAGATTATGGAATGGAAACAATCCAGGAGAAACATTTGTGAATATTGTCATATAATTTATTTTGCATGATTGTGGCAACATTTTTATCCAGTTAATTTTATTGGGCTGGAAAAGCATTTCTTTTTATACAGTAACTATCAAATTCACCCCCTTACAAAATGAAACCGTAATGTGCTTCATTGGGATTTTTATACCATTGGTGGCCACAAAAACCTCCAGTGACAAAGTAAAATCCAGAAGCTGCTAAATTTGTTACACATATGAAACAGAAATTAGCTGATTGCAAAAGTATTAATGCCCCCTGAATCAATATTTGTTAGAAATTACAGCCTTGAGTCTTCTTGGGTAAGTCCCAACTAGCTTTGCACATCTGAGCACTGAACGTTTTGCCCATAATTCTTTGCTGAACTGTTCAAGCTCCCTCAAGTTGGATAGGGACAGCAATTTTCAAATCTTACTGTGGATTACTGATTGGTTTGAGGTACAGTCTTTAACTAGGCCTCTTCAGAACTTTGTTGCTTTTAAGCCCCTCCAGTGTGGTTTTGGGTCTTTCTAAGATTGATTAATCTTTTCCCAAGTCATACAGATGCAGCCATTCAAAATGCGCGGGCGGTACCGCATTATTTTCCGGTACGCTGTACGCAGTCTACCGCAAGTTACCGGTAAATACCACGAGTTACCGGTAAATACCGCTAGTTACCGTAAATTCTCCTATAATACGGCAAGCAAAATAATAGTATCAAGAATTTCCGCAAGGTGGAGCTAAAAAAGCTCAACCTCTCATGTTTGAGCTGTGGCCATCAAAGTCTTTAACTTTGATGGCCTTGGACAAGCTGTAAATGTAAACTCAAAGTATTGCCCTGGTCAACATTCTTTTTTTCATTGACCGTCTTTGTAAAAGTAACACCACAGCATTTCGCAATCACGCATTTGTTTCATGCAAAG